TCTTGCTCAACTAGATTTCTTGAATTTTGACGCGCTTTTGGAGGCATGATTGGTGGTTGAAGTGGGTGAGGTTTTCCACCGTGGTCAAAATGCGTGGGGTGGCTATCCCGCTTGTGTGGCCATCCCGCTAGTGAAATACGTTATTCGAGGGAGAAAAGTGAGCTTACGTAATAGAGCTCAGTTGCATCTTGAGAGGAAATCTCGTTTCCAGTTTCAAGGAAGAAGCCTGGGACGAACTCTTGTGCATGTGCTTTTATTGTGTTCTTGGTTGGTCGTCCATCATCAGCCAGTCTGCCTTTGGTTGACTCAATAAACCAGCGGGTAAACTCTTTAAGTTCCTCAAGTGTCGGAGCTGGATATCCTTCCCCAATCTTATAGCCTTCGGGCATTTTCTTCTCTTAGATGAGAAACCTAACGGGCGAGTTTCAGTAGAATGGCTTATTTATTTATTTAATCAAGTTTAACGTCCATATGGAGCCAGTTGGCTATGACAGACACATGCGTCTGGGCAGTGGTCTAGATCACTGCCCCTAATTTATCCCTAGGAGCTCTATAAGCTCCTACTGTCCTTTGTATATTCGTTCTGGTCCTTTTCCTCGCCCGATCCGCCTATCTGCGCCAGAGCATTTGGGCTGTGCCCTCCTCGGTATTCATTGTTTGTTGGGTATCTCCTAGATGTGCCTAGGCTACCCCCTCCTACTATCCTTCTCCCCTACTCTCTGCTTCTTCCACTAGTCCGAGATCTCTTAGATTGTCTCTAGAGATCCTATCTATCTCCCTGGCTGCCTCTCCTGGGAAGGATCCAGTCTTTGTTGTTGCAAGGAACGCTATTAGGGCCTTTGTGGCCCTCTGGTCCTTAAAGAGGCGGCTTTCTGGGGCTATCTCTCCTTGTCCAGGTGGTTGTACTCCTGCCTTTGTTAGGGTCCTATACAGGGTCTGCCGTTGGTGGCACCATTGCCTGCATTCGACTAGTAGATGACCTGCTGTTCCCTGAGGAGCTTGGCAATTCTGACATCTAGGGGAGTCCTGAGCCCCTATCCGACTGTAGAATGGCTTATATCTGATAATATATATACATACTCCTCATACTTCCGTACCCTTTCTCTATAACTCTCTTTGGTCTTTGTTGATGCTCTGCCCCTAGTTCTTTCAGCATCTTTCTGTTGAGGCACTTGCGTCGTATCCCCGCTGTTGACGAAGTTCACGGCGAGCCTTTCGTTTCTTTTCAAGCTGGGAGGCCTTCCACGACTCTGAACGTTTCTCCATCTTTGAACACTGAAATTGGCGTAGGCCACTATAGAAGCAGAGAATTCGCAAATATAGCGCAGCAGATGATCCATGCAAGATAAGCTCTTAAAAGTGAGGGTAGGAGCGAGAAGCATCAAGGCGTGTATGCCGTATTTATATTGAGAATTGGGGCATAAATCCTCTGAGGAAGACCCCAAGGAGGGAATAGTCTCTCCACTCCTAATCCGACAATAAAGCATGTTTCGAATAATCATCGTGTTCAGTAATGAAATCAAATTACTCGGTCCTTGTCTTCGTGACGCCCTCTCAAAATTGATGGGATGTATATAGACCAGCAAGCTCTAGTCTGTACGCGCTTTAGAGGCCTTCTTGTAGTTAGGTAATCTACGGCACGAAGCAAGGAGGACCTGCTCCGGATCACTCACTGAGCTTGCTGCTGGTATCCGAGAGCGACCGGAGCGGCTGGTGCGTGCTCCGTGAGCAATCAGTGAGTGGCTCAGAACATTCTCGGAGCACTCACGTAGCACTCACGTGCTGCCCTCATAAAAGCGGCGGCACCCGTATCGGGTAACCAGGCGGAACTCGCAGAAAAACAATTCAGTTAAGAACTACCACTATCACACCACCGACAGTAGGAACTAAAGATCTACAGGGAATTCAGCTCGGCCGAAAATAGGAAATTAGGCCAATGGCCTGGTAGATTCTTAATACGACTAGTTGGTGCTTCGGAAACGCTTTTTGTTCTGTCCAATGACCGGTTGGATGTCTCTCTTTGCTAGCGGGGCCCTTGTTATTTTGTGGCCGCAGCTGAACTCGGAGCATATATGTACTCTTTTTAATTTACATTTTTTTCCAGCTGAACAGCAATACGGCTCGAGTAATCTCTGTAGATAACCGCACACAGCGTGATTTTATAAAGAGTTTCGAGAAAACTGACATTGACTGGACAGCTATAAATAGGTACATAGCAAGATATCCTTTGTCTGCCCTAGAAGAAGCTTACGGTCTCTGTATCTATTGATTGTATGGAGAACACTGATCTTCCTTCAAGGAACACTGACAAAAGAGGAACTTCCTCAGCACTGTAATCAACACAATGCTTTGTTGATGTGATGATCGGATTGACACTGAAATTTGCTCTGGACAGCCTTCAGTTTGGGAAAATATGTATCGGAAAATGCGATATTCAAGACCGCCCTGCCAGCATGAGGGTCAGTACTGTTGGCAGGATCCAACAGGGACAAAGCATTATAGACTCAGGACACATTATTTGAAACTGTTATCAAATATTTGGACCAAGCGGTTCTATATTTATCTTATTCTGATTGGCTCTTAAATAGAAGTCTTACCAGACATGTTCATAGCAACTGGAAGACATGGCAATCCTGCGGCTGAAGCGGGGTTATTATTTTGATGGCTCAGCTGAACTATACTAGGTGATCACACCGCTTTTAGATAACTAAGGAGGTGGGTGACTGTGTCGATCGAAGCCTACCATTCAGCTATGCAGTTATCCCTCTTATCCTTGCTGTCATTGATGCTGCAGTGGCCTCCTTCCTTCTTCGGATTGTAGTGCTAGTGCGCGGTACTTATAGAAGCTACATAAGCAACGTACCGCTGTTGAAATTACTTTCTCAGGTTGTTATACTTACTACTTGACTATAATATCGAAAAATAAATAGATAGTCCTCAGCCAAAGCTTTTAGTTATATAGTGAAGTTCAGCTGATCCACCAAAAATAATAATCATTGATTATCGTCTTAATCAGTAAAACTTATTTTTGTGGTGACGATCCCAGATGTTGGGTCTAATGTGGGGCTTATCGGCAGCCGAAGAACCAATTGATCTTTTAAAAAAATCAGCACCTATAGACAGAAAGAGGGGTGATTGTTCAATCGACTCCACCCTTCAGCTTACTCGAAGCTTATTTGTATATAGAAGGATTCTTACTTTCTCCACTGTGGTCCATTATATGCGGCTAGATTGCTTAGAATATATCTATGACTTGTAAAAAGCAGAGTTACAAGTATCACATTCTGCACTATTCAGCAGTCAGCTACACTGAAGGGGAGGCTTTCAATATTTGATATATAGATAATCCTCGAATTCCTCTACTGATAGTACTTATGTTGCTACACTTAGTATAGATCGAGGTCTATTATTTCAACCGCCAAGTCTTTATATGTAAGAAATACCCCCATTTCTCAGTTTAAAAATATTAAATTATGTATTTGCAACGCAAAGTCAATCAGGATTGCTGCCATAACTCCCAGTAACGGAATTTTGGCAGTTAGTGTTGTGCTTAAAAAGCGTAGTCCGGGCTAGCAGTATATTAAAGCCTAAATTTATATAAGGTGAGGGAGTTTGAACTAACAATAATTACCCCTAGTTTGGAAGGCGCATATTTGTAACTATCACAAAATGTATTGAGATTCTATACAGGCTGGGTCCCAGGGCAGTCTGTTCTATCTTCGACTGGAATATCTGCTCAAGTTATTTAGTATATATTATTCCTCGCCTATCTGAATCTTCACTTTACTGTGACCGGCCAACTCTATTCTAGACCTGGATAGCGGTAAATATCGGAGCAGCACAAGGTGGATTCCCGGTGAAAGGAAATACTATACATCTGCCAGGATTAGTTATGTAATAGGGGCCATTCAGATTGCCAGTAAGGGCCATGGTAGTACTCCTGCATTCGCGATATTAAGAGGGCTTTACATGACACACGTGATCAACATCGGGCTCTGGCCTGTTAAAATCTACGTCTTAAAGCGGTAGAGGTCTTTGTCTCTGAGGATATTAGATCTATTGAAAGAGGAAAATTCGCTGTTTGACACGTATGTGAGCAACTAACCAAATAGACTGTCACAGAACAAAATATTCACGCTCTCTATGGTTAAGTTTAAACAGGACACTGTACTCGCTCTCTCCCTTAATGTATCTAATGGTATTAACTACTTATGGACACTGTGTCGAAGCCGATCACAACTCATTGAAATTCGCCGCTTTGAGCAGCGGGTTCGGGAGACCGGAATTCCGCACAGCGCACCGAGGTAGGAAAGCACGCTGCTCAGAAACTGCCCGAGGCTAGGCCGCCAGATAACGATTTAGGCAGTATCAGTGGCGGTTCCGAACACCCACCGCCTTCCGCCGGTGGGTGTTCGGCAGCCTAAAGGAATTTTCAGCGTAAAGGAAGAAAATAAAGCAATTTATATTATCACCACTAAACACCTGTAGAATCAATAAAATAAAGCTGATCACCCGATTCCTCTGCCAATCCTGTATCTGAAGCTGTAGTTTCATTTTCTATATAAGGCACTGGCGGGAGGTGGCCGTACGCTTTGAAATACGCCTTATCCGCTGCTTTCTTATTTTTTTCATTATCTTTGGCCTTCCTGTCTGCAATAGACCGATTCGTATCCTTTACACGCAGTATACTACTATCTCCAAGGCGTTGAATCTCTCACTTAGACTTTTTACGGCTTCGGGATACCTGTGTAGCCTCAATTTATATAAAAGTTAAATTTATAATAGCAAGCTGTTTAAATTGAAGCTTTTGTTGATAAAATAAGCGGTCAAAATAGTACTCAATACAAGGATTATTTGGTATATTATTATTTAGAAGTTTAAATAGCTTTTTCTGATTCTTTTCAACTTGCTGAGTACTTTTTGAAGGTATATTCTCAATACTTAAAGACTGAGGATTTGGAGGCGACGTAGTCTCTCTGTACACGTGTAAATCAGATACAGAGATCTCTGGTAAAAATAGTAAAGTCTTCTGAATATCTTCAATAATTGAAGATCCATCTGGAGGAAAGATACCGCGTTCTTTAAAAGAGTTGCAAATAAGGCGCGGAGTAAAAGTCTTCTCACGTACAGCAACAATATCACGTAGAAAATTTGCTTTATCTCCCGGGACTCCACACCACTGTACAATATAATTATTTGTACTGCGAAAGTGTGTTTTATATATAAGAAAGGGCTTTCCATCAAGCAGTTAACAGCGATGTGTTGTATAAGATCAAAAACAAAAGGGAAGAATCTTATATATCTCACAGAGTTAAAGAAATTCAACTGTTTTATGAGCTGTATAGCCGTCGAAGAGAAATATACATTTTTCTCCCTTTCTTGTACGATC